TTCCCAAAATAAACTGGGGATTTATTTTCAAAACTCATGTTTGGCCATAAATTTTGCTCATATTTTGGCCAAATCCCAAATTCTAAATTTCAAATCCCAAAATCAGCTATTGAGCTGATTTTGGGCCAAAATCCCAAAACTTGGGAATTATATACATATTTTTTCAAAATAAAGTTGGAAAATATGTTTTGAAAGCGTATGTCCAAACACATTTTCATCTTCAAATCAAACTTCACCCAAGTCAGATTTTTTAAAATAAATTTGAAATCTTTAGCCAAACGCTAGCTAAAAGTAATCATTTCTCGTGAATCATCCATAGTTTGGGTGTGGAGTGGGCCTAAAATCCTAATGGACCATGATATGTTTAATTCATCAAAAAATATTGAACCAATTCGGTTTGTGGAAACCATAAAAGATCAGAAAAAATGCTACTTTCTGCTAGTGTTGTACTTGCTTACGTGAAAAAAGAAAGGAGAGGTGGGGTATCGACGTGGGCCTTATTGGGCTACGTCTTTATACATGGAATTTTTATATTCCTATCCCACTTATGAAACCTTTTTACCCTACATGTTTAAGGTTTCACTTAATTATACTTAGCATACCAAATTATCATTTATATACCATATCTAATTAAGGTTATAATTAATGTGATATTTTATACTCCTTAAATTAAGCACTTCCGTTATTTGACAATACTAAGTACTAATCCTCACTTTCTCTCTCCTAACCCCTCATCCCCATACCCCTCCACGTTCTTTGTTTTAGGGAAGAAGTTGAGTTAAATCTTTGAGATGACAAACAGAGGAGAGAATGAAACGGGATTGAAGAAAGTCAAAGACTCAGATTTCGTTGATCTATTTTCTTCTTCTTTTCTGTTTTGCACTTTCATTTAGCTTATTTTGTTATTGATTTTTAATTACTTTCTCATGTCGATCGAAATCAGTTTTTTTTTTTAAAGTATTTTTATAAAAAATACTTTAGGTGAAAAATAATTATTTTTTAATTAATTAATTTGAAAAGCATTTTGACCATCAATTAGTATTTGGGCAGGCTTTTAAAAACTATTTCTAATTATTTTTCGGAAAGCTATTTTTTCTGTTCCAAAATTGTGTCTGCTTCTCCTCAAAAATACATTTTTTTCTTCTAAAACCTTGGCCAAACACTTCAACTTTGAAAAAAATATAATCACCAAAAAAACTAGGTAAATATTTGTAGTTTTTTGTAGAAATTTTGTAGATGAAGAGCAAATTATAGAAATGTGACATCCACAATTAATCTGCAAATTGTCTGCAAAATTTTACAAAAAGTCAAAAACTACAAATTAACTACATTTAACCTACATTATAACTACAATCTGGAAACAATTTACACATGGAAGTTCTTCAAGTTGGAATTGGCCACAGCTACATTTCTTGTTTTCTAGACACACAACGTACCGCTTCACACCATCCAACACAGTATGTATATGATCTGTTGAAGCCCTCACCTACATTTTCAGAACAAACACAAAGAAAAAAAATTTACAATATTAAAAATATAGTATCTACAATATATCTACATTTTATCTACAATTTATCTACAAACTATAAGTAAACTACAATTTGCCTACAATTTATCTACAATCTGGAGACACTGAATATTAAAATATTTTTTTCCTGCACCAAATAAAGAAATTATAGTCAAATTGTAGATATATGTAGTAAATTTGTAGATAATATCATAAAACTAAGAAGACCTATTGCTGTTATTTTTTCTTCTCGTTTTTGTTTTTTTCTCCCTTCTTTAAGTTATTGTCAATGATCTGCCTTTGAACTCTCCAATTTATGTCCATTTAATTGGTAAATCTTAGAAGCTTATTTTCGTAGTTTTTGTAGCTGTTAGTAGTTCAATATCTGTTCGGTTTTTTTTTCCAGAATTTGAATTATAGTTCTGGAGAAAAAATCGCATATATGAAATCTTCTTTCCCTTTTTAAAGATTGAATTTAATATAGAATCAATTATCAACAAGAATCTCTCCTTAATTTTAGCGCGTTTTTAAGGAATATTCTGATCCATTAATGCCTGATTTTCGAATGGTACAAATTTTATAGGTAAAATGTGGACTGGGCGGGTAATATACAAAATATGCACATTTTTGATAATAAACTTTTATATATGGTATAGGAAGGAAAAAAATCCCTTTATACATCCATTGATTCATCTTATGTCCTTTTTGCCTTTCCTGCATGTACATCCACATGGACTTTGGACCCATTCCTAGTTTAAGTTGTTTTAAAAAAGGTTGAGTATTATCAATATTGTCCCTTATCTTTGAGAGTAGGCTTATTTTGGTCCCTCAAATATAATTCTGAGCATATTTAGTCCCTTAAGTATGCTAAAGTGGAGCATCTTTAGTATCACTGATAGAATGTGTCAAAAACTATCGGTGTTAGCCAACTCTGATCCATGAATCAAATCTTCTGCTCTGAAGCAAAACGTTTCCTCTCCTTTTATTAGATAGCGCAAATTATCACTTTTTCTCATTTCTAGATAATGTCTTCTAAAATTTTGAGCTTGAAAATATCCCCTTCTGCGCCAGTTTTCAATGAGAAAATGATACTGTATAGAAGCTGTAAAAATAATAGCCGAAATTTGTATATTATTTTATATATATACAAAAACTATACAAATTTTATATACTTTTTCGGCTACCGGATGTAAATAGTTTCTGGCGCGGGCTAAAAGTGATAATACAATCTGGTTATTCGTTTGCTTCAATAATATGCCTAGAAGTGATCCTGGCAGCTCTATTTTTTTCAAATTTTAACTTTTCTTTTTGAAAAAATCAACCGAAATTTTTAAAAGTAAAAGTTTTAACGTTGAAATCTTAAATTTATCAGTTCTGTACTATTAGTGGGTGTTGGTTTATAAAATATTTTCAATAAGTAAATTAAAAAGACAGTAAGTGCCGAAACCAACCCCTTAATTGATTTTGGACAGATGAGACTAAAAATGCTCCACTTTGGCATACTTAAAGGACTAAATATGCTCAGGATTATATTTGATGGACCAAAATAGACCTACCCTCAAAGATAAGGGACAATATTGGCCAAAACCTACAAAGTATGGTTCATAAACGACTAGGGCCCCGTTTGGCCATACATTTTGGCACCGTTTTTTCAAATCTTTTTTGAAAATGTTGTTTGTTCATAGACTAATGATCTATTTTTGAAAAAATTCTGAAATTATTTTTAAGTTCCCAAAATTTAGTTTAGGGTAGATTTTGGGTGAAACTTGTTCTCCCACTCACAAAACATTAAATTTTTTTCAAATAAAATGCATGTCCAAACATAATTTTAACTTCCAAAAATTATTTTCAAAACTACTTCAAAAATTATTTTTTCAAGTTTCAACTAAATTTATGTCCAAACTAGGGGTGTTCATAAAAACCCGAAAAACCGAACCAAATAAAAAACCAAACCAAACCGACCAAAAAAATCGATACTTTTTGGTTTGGTTTGATTTTGGTTTTGAATGTTAAAAACCGATCAAATTTGGTTTGGTTTTGGTTTTAATAAAAAAATAAGCCAAAAAAACCGAACCAAACTGACTATAGGAGTATCTATTTCAAATTTATTATTACACCTATATATATGTATATTTTTTTACAAAGTTTCAAAATTGTATGGTAAATGTTAATCATTTGCACTTTTAGTACAATTTTTTACCTTTATATTCTAGTTTGATTGGTAGTTTTCTTTTGTTAAGTGTAAGAATCCATTTCATGTTAAAAAAAATATTTTTTTAATTGAGTCCTTAAATTATTCATCACTATTTGATTCAATTGTCGTTAATATATTTTAATAAATAATAGATTTCTCAAAGGGCAACTGATTTGATAGTGTTACGTTGAAAACGTGGTCGCCAGAATATGTCTTTGGTATTGTATGTCTTATATTTAAGAAAAAATCGACAAATAATAGAAAAAATCGAAAAACCGACAAAACCCAACATAAATCGAATCGAGAAAAAACCGACTTGATTGGTTTGATTTGGTTCTAATATTTGAAAAATCGACTTACTTGGTTTGGTTTCTTTTAGGGAAAAACCGATCCATGAACACCCCGGTCCAAACGCTAGCTATAAATATTCATTGACTACCTTACTCTCTTTCATTAGCAGAAACATCAAATCAGGATAAGACCGTATTATCCTAGAGAGAGAGAGAGCGGGTGAGTCCAAAAACCTTAAATTAGGCAATTGCCAATTTGCCACCTGTTTATAATTTCTTTTGGACTACTAATAAGATTACTATGATGTGAATAAGGGTGTTCATAGTTCGGTTTGGATCGGTTTTTTCCTAAAAAGAAACCAAATCAAGTAAGTCGGTTTTTCAAATATTAGAACCAAACCAAGCCAATTAAGTCGGTTTTTCCTCGATTCGGTTTATGTCGGGTTTTGTCGGTTTTTCGATTTTTTCGGTTATTTGTCGGTTTTTTCTTAAATATAAGACATACACTACCAAACACATATTCTGGCAACCACATTTTCAACGTAACACTATCAAATCAATTGCCCTTTGAGAAATCTATTAATTACCAAGATATATTGATGATAATTTAATAAAATGAATAATTTAAAGACTCAATTAAAAATATATTATTTTTAATACGAAATAGATTCTTACACTTAACAAAAGAAAACTACCAATCAAACTAGAATGTAAAGGTAAAGAACTATACTAAAAGTGCAAACTATTAATATTTACCATAAATTTTTTGAAACTTTGTATGAAAATATACATATATGTATAAGTGTAATAATAAATTTGAAATAGCTAATCCTATAGTCGGTTAGGTTCGGGTTTTTTTGGTTTTTTTTCTGATTAAAATCAAAACTAAACCATTTGATCGGTTTTTAAAATTCAAAACCAAAACCATACCAAACCAAAAAGTATTGGATTTTTTTTGTCGGTTTGGTTTGGTTCCTTTTTTTTGGGGGTTTTATGAACACCCGCATCTCCTGTGACTGTATATTGTTGTATTGTTGTCCTTTTCTGCTGTTCTACTCCGCACTTCTCTTTTGATACGTTACGTCTCTTCTATATTTACTCGACTGGATCGCCACTTCTCTCGCATTGAATTGATTTCCTGATTCCCTAAGCAATTTCTATCAGTTCGAAAGGTTGCATTTTGTGTGAAATTGAAGGAATCATGAGTTTCGCAAAGAAAGAGTACCAATTTCTCAAGGAGATCGGAATTGGCCCTAAAAATCTAGGAGGTTTTGTTAATGGCACCTGGAAAGCTAGTGGCTCCGTCATCTCCACTGTTAATCCCGCAAACAATCAGGTTCTTAATTTTTAACGGTTTTAAGTTTTTTTAAAATATTTAAATTGTACTACTGGTTAATTTAGAGCTATTTTTGTGGATACAGACTATTGCTGAAGTTGTAGAAGCTTCTGCTCAAGATTATGAGGAAGGCATGCAAGCTTGCTCTGAAGCAGCAAAAATTTGGGTGCAGGTATGCTCATAACTCCTAGTCATATTCTACTGTAATTAACTTCTTTTTTTTTTTAGGGATCAATTTTTCTACTATGAGTATATTGCTAAAACTAGTTTAAATTTCATTAGCCTATGCTTATTTTCTGAGTTCATCCACCTTGCATGATGATCCTTTATTATGTTTGCAGGTTCCTGCACCAAAAAGAGGTGAGATTGTTAGGCAGATAGGCGATGCACTCCGAGCAAACCTTCAGGAATTTGGTCGGCTTGTTTCACTTGAAATGGGAAAGATACTCCCCGAAGGAATCGGAGAAGTTCAAGTATGTAATTTCACAACTCACTAACATACAATGCCCAATAAATTATGATGCAAAACCTTTGCTATTGAAAACTTTGTGTGGTTAGTGGTTACAGTGACATGTAAACTAATTCCACTTGGTTCATTATATATCAGTCTCTTTTTTCATGTTCATAACTCTGTCTTATAACTTTTTTCTTATGAAGTTCCTTTATCTTGATCTTTTTATAATTGAATAGTGAATGGTTGGTAAGAGTAACTAGGTTTAAATTGTCCATGTTTAAGTGTTCACATGCATGAGTAATCCATGTCTGTATACGCCCTAACTTTGCTGCAAAACTCTGCAGGAAGTCATTGATATGTGTGATTTTGCTGTGGGGTTGAGTCGACAACTGAATGGATCCATTATTCCTTCTGAGCGTGAGCTTGCTTCCTTACTTTTTTGCTTTCAGAATAGCCAAAGTTGTTATCTTTTAAGCAGTTATATCTGTGATTGCAATTTCTCATTTGTGGTTTAAATACTTTTTGGTGATTTGAGTGATAAGCTTTCACTGACTATTGGGATACAAATGTTCTTTAGGAGTAGAAGATTTACATTCTTATGCAATTGGAATTGGTGTTTATGTTGTGATTTTACATAACTTCCTTTTATTAACGGTATTTATTTGTTGACAGGCCCTAACCATATGATGTTGGAGGTGTGGTGAAATTTGTGCTCTAAAATCAGGAATTCCTCGAACCTTGGTTATGTTAGTTTTTGATCTTCTCAATGTAATTTTTGTGCACAGATGTGGAATCCTCTTGGGATAGTTGGTGTTATCACGGCTTTCAATTTCCCATGTGCTGTACTTGGTAAGCCATTAAAATTTTTGACCACTTCCATATGGACTTTTTGGTTCCACTTTGCTTCCAGTTGTTCAGGACCGTAGTAAAACGCACTATAGAATAGAATGGTTAGTCCATTTATCCACTATGGATTTATGCAGCTCTATGAAAACAAGCCCTCCCACTAGCTTCGGGAAGGGTAAAAAAGTAAAAAATTAATTGATTTAGGATACTTACAATTCACCTTTAGCTGTCTGTTATGGTTGGAAGGATAAAAGACATGTACCTCCTCTTCTCTGCCCAGTTTTTACGAGCTGAAAAGCTGATATGGAGGGACATCCAACCCCTTGACATTTATTTGTCCTCCTCCTTAACTTGCTTACCAATTCAAGGAAACACCCTTATCCATCCTCATTTACTTCTTCCATCTTCTTTATTTTACTGGAAAGGAATATAGTATAAGGCACTTCCATGCTAATTATGCACTATCACCACATGCTACTGTTAATAACAGCCAAACTGATGTTTACATTTGATATGCACTTTGTAGGAAATGGTAAACAGGTATACTATTTATTTGAAAGCAGAAATGCTTACAAGAACGTTTGGCTTAGTTGGTGACACACTCTCCCTTCCAACTGGTAGGTTGTGGGTTAGACATATAGGGTAAATGGGAAACTGTTGTTGATCTCTGGGATGGGGGATGGGGAGAAAAAAGAGAAATGCTTAATATGCACTATTTTTTTAATGATGGTGGTGTCCAAGTCAGCTTGTGCACACTCGGCTAATTGTTACCTCCCGCCAGCACAAATACCTTTAACTCTGCACACCAAAGGTTTAGCAGACGAGAAGAAATCGCCTAGTGTTCTAATGTGCAGGAAGTTAGCATGAGATAACTGTCTTATTGGGTCAATATACAGAATAAATGTCCGATATCGAGGAGTTGGGTTATTTAGGTAGTTACCTATCATTATTTAAGAACTGAATCCCTGAATTTCTTTCTCCTCTTCTTTTTGTATTACTTTTGTTTTTTAGTATACTACTTCATTCTATTCTGATAAAACTGTGCTCTTAGATGATGCCTGTGTATCTTGCATCTTTCCTGCTCTTTCCCTAAGGCAGTTGTTTGGTGTCATGGTGACAGTTCACTGCACTTTTCCTCTATAAATTTATTTGTTAATTACTTTTTAACTCGACTGTTTGAGTGTATGGCTGCTAATTTCAGATTGTATTTTTGTATTGCACTCTCTCTGCTGAAGTACTTTGATCTAAAAACGAAAATAAGTAAAAAGCTTCTACTGTTTGTATGTGGAGAACTTTTGCTTACATATACCAAGTAATTTCTGGCTTAGCTTTAAATGTTTTGACCCAATTTTTCAAGTAAATGTATGAGAAGTATCGATATCCACCTTACCTTTTCTTAATTTATGCATAATGTTCTGTTCAGGATGGAATGCGTGTATTGCGCTGGTCTGCGGCAATTGTGTTGTCTGGTAAGTCCATCACTTTTTGATGGTTTAAAGTGAAGATGTTGTAGAAATGATTGAATGGCTTTTCTGAATAATAGTTGAGCGGGTGGTTGAACATCTTTTCAGATTGATAAATTGAGCTTATAGTTATTGCTGAGCTCAAATTGATTGGGTATTATTGCCACACCATAGTTTGAACATCATCACAGACACCTTCATGTTGAAAGTAATCATTGTCTTGAATCTCAGAACCTTCGATCCATGTCAAGCTAACTTTAAGCATTCATGCTGCAGCTGAATCTTTAAGTAAGTTATATTGCTATAACTGGCTCTCAAACAAAATCTCTTCTGCATCCAAATAAGTTCAAACAAAACAGAGTATCTTCTCTTGTCTTAATAACCATAAAATGTTAAGTGTGCACACTTGAATTGGGAGGTATGGAGCAGATGCTTTCTAGGTTGTACTAACGCCTAATCTCCGAACTCTCTCCTCAATCTCCAATAGCAAATTTGCTCTTCAAGGATGTCCAATACCTTGATGCTTGAAATCAAAACTCGAGTTTGGTATTTGGTTGTTCATGCTTGGGATTTTATGCCATGTTCACAGGAAAGGTGCTCCAACAACACCATTGGTTACCATAGCGATGACAAAAATTGTGGCTAGTGTATTGGAGAAAAACAATTTACCTGGTTCAATTTTTACTGCCTTCTGTGGTGGAGCTGAAATTGGTGAAGCAATAGCGAAGGACACTCGAATTCCTCTAGTTTCTTTCACTGGGAGCTCAAAGGTGACTTTTCTGTCCTAAGCTAACATGCATGTGTGTCTTATCTCATCAAGGAGTTTCCTTTTGCAGCTAATACTGCATTAGCATTTGCGTCTTACTTTAACTTGAATTTACCTTTTTAAATATTTTCCAAGCTTCTTGACACTACGAATACCTAAAATGTATAGATACACTGCCTGTTTTTGTAGGTTCATCTCTAGGAAACTTCCATGCCATCTTTGATATGACATTAAAAAGTGATAAGTTGAATTTCTTAATTTTCCTATATTTGTTGTATTCACTTTATATTGAGCAATGATATAAGTACAAAAATGTCTAGGAGAACAATGAAGTAATATAGTACTTCACAGCAGTGCTATACTTCCTTTATCTGTCTTCTTTTCCTAGTGCTTCTTGGAATAAATATATTGTGCAGAAAAAACATACCTGTTTATGGATAGTAGTTATTAGTTAAAACTTCTCAGTTGAAGCTAATAAGAAGTAGAGATGCATATGCCATTAAAAGATGTGGAACCATGTTTCTGGAGCTAGAGGAAGAAACTACTGCAATGTTAATTTATCCAATTTTTTGCTTACTTTACTTTTCTACTTTGACTTTACTTTGTCTGGCTAGTTGAATGAAAGAATATTAACAAGATTTGAAAAGAAAAAGGTAGGGAGTCAATTCTGAAACTAAATGGTTATGTAAGTCTATGTTTAGTGGTCTAACAGTCAAAATTAAAATAGGCTGTTATGGCTTTTATTCCTTCTGGGTGCAAGTGCGAAAAGAAACATTTCTTTCTAGGATAAGTAAATAAGTTTTATTTGGAAAAAAACAGCCAAAGGGACTGCAACCATATACAACAAGTGCATACAACCTAAAATCTCAAAATAAAACAAACAAAGTAGGAGAATCGTGGATCTTATTGAAAACCCAAAAAAGGGGGGGGGGGGGGG